TCGATATTTGGCTATTTGAGTTCATGTAAGCTGAGTCTCAATTTGTTGGCGAAAGTCGACTGTAGTGGTGACGAGATTCTACAAGTAGCATGATGTCGTATACTCATTACACCTTTTGACTATCAGCTCACTTATTTCATAGTCACCAGTAGGGTGTTTATCTCTCGATTTTATTAAAACACGTACACTCGTAATACCAGTGAGTGCTCAAAATTATGACAGTAGCATGGTGTTGATAATTGCTTGACACCAGTGGGGTGTCCCAAATCTCAGCACCAGTGGGGTGCTCTCATTTTCTTGGCACGACAATCTCATGGCTTAGCTTGAAAATAAAACTGGATTTTGATGGCTTTCATTTTTGAGAAAATAAATATGTTTAAAAAAAAGAATCCGAAGTGGCATTTGTTATTTTGATAATGAAAAATCATTGATGCAAAATCTTAAATTAAGATTGATACTATTCACCATAATGCTCTAGAGAGGTCGAAAGTTGAAAGATCTTTTATTCACGACGATGGAAGCAAAAGCGATACAAATTTTAACAAGGTAAACTGTCTCGATTAGTTGATGATAATCAACATCATCCATGCATTGAGCTTTGCTTCGTGGCTTTCCTAATGATTTTCTTGATTGGACTGCAAGTTGTGGTTGCTCTCCAGCAATGAGTCATGATTTTCTTCAAATTTTGGACGAAGCCTTATGGAAAATGCTCACCTGTTCTTTCATTTCTTCAAGTGTCGCTAACCTTCTTTTGATGAAGTATAATTCCCTCTATAGTGACTCCAAAATGAGCATAACTTTGGATCCCGTCGATGTTTAAGGATTTGAATTTTCCTTGAGGAAGAGCAATTTTGAGGAAACCTGGGTTGTCTCAATATTGTCAAATTATTTCCGTTCTTTTTATGATGGTGTATGCGTGATGCTTATGCAAAATGTTAATGATGTATGAATTCAAATTCATTTGTCGTCTCATGCATGCGTTTTTAATCTTCTTATGATAAGTTGTTAATGAGTGAATGAAAATCTTATGAGAGAATGATGTTTATGAATTTTGAAAACGTTTTTCATTCATGCGATCACACAGTTTTACGAGTAAAAGACAAAACGCATATCATTACGTCGTAAATAAACATACATTTAGATAAGCAAACATATATCATTACATCATTACCCTATTTGGTAGACCTAGGGCTTTCGGATGGCGTACCGACATGGTTTTAGGGTGGCTTTGGGGATTGTTTTGGATGGTCGAGGGTAGCTTCGAAGTTTACTATATGCTGGTTAAGGAATTCCTAGGGATTTGGCTCCCAAGTTGTATCCCGCCCTAGCTCTTTCGAACTGGCTGGATACCTCGAGATCATCCTCGGATCCGAGTTCAACTTGGTTAGAAAGTTTTGCGTGACTACCACTATTGTGGATGTCACGGTACTCCTTTCAATTTTCTAAAAGGATAGCTCGGGTATAGAGCTTTTATGCATGAATGCAAAATTAAATTGCGAAAATATAATTGCGCAAATAAGAAAGTAAACACCCAACATTTAATAGGAAAATAGAAAACTTATCGAACTTAATTATGTAGCTTGACTCTCGAAGTCCCCAGCGGAGTCGCCAACTGTCGCAACCGTCCCGTCCGGGGGGTCCGAATGTCGTCGCGTCGGCATTTTGGGAGTCGCCATCGATCTTACTTGGAGTGGATCGAACACTCGTCTGTCGGCTCTAACCTTAGGGTCAGAACCGAGATATGGTCTGCGAAAACAAAGTTCTGGGTTCGGGAGTACGGTTACGTATGGGGAAGTTAAGCAACACCCCCACAACGCCCTAAATCGGTACTACTTAAGTCGATAAGTTTTTATGCGAGTTGGGTGTATTTTAGTAATAATTTTGTAATTTTAGGGTCCCACTGGACCATTTAACGATTTTATCGTATTAGTTGTGATTTAATTATACGCCCACTGACGTAAAAGTTTAAAGATAAAGTTAGTTGATTAGTTGGACTCGAACCTTATCGGTTGCCTACGTACCCGTTAGACGGGATCAAAGTCCACGTAGTTCGTTAGGGCTTTGAAAATTTAATTGTAGCTTTTATCACATTCCACTGAACGTAATTCTCGTATCATAATTTTATTGTTAATATTTAGATTGATTATTATTAGGATTTTAATTAGAAGGATGTATTTTGGTGTAATAGAAAAAAGAAATGAGACAAACTTAATCCGCATTTCACATTTCGTATTAAGGATTGCAAAACAAATAAAACTGAATGGGATGACAACATTAATGCATGATGGGTTGGCAGCCCAACTGGCTAAAACGCCTGACCAGGCTTGCGTTTGAACCGGAGGACGTGGGTTCGAAACGCACTGGTGGAGAAATTTTTAATTTTCTCGTTTTGATGCAGAGAAGGGGGAAGGGCATCCTAGTAATTTCACGAAAACGCGGTGGCAGGACATGTAATTTGCGAGAAACCCTAGGGGGAATCTCGTCCTTTCGTCAGTCGAGGTATATAAACCTCTCAAACAAACCCTAGAGCCGTGTAAGGCTCGGCCGCCGCTCAACCTCCTCTCTTACTCTCATTTTTCCTTCTCGATTCTTCTCCTCCCTCCTTCTCTCTCGCCCAGAAAACCCAACCCTAGCCCCATCTCATGCCGCCGCCGCTGCTCTCCTCTCCCTCTCTCTCTCTCTCTCGACGAACAGAGAAGATGAGGCGCCCTCTCTTCTTCTTCCTTCCATACCAGAAAACCCAAAATCGAAACCAAAAAAAACAGCCGCCTCTCTCCCTGTTCGATCCGCCTGAAAGGCCGCTCACACTAGACGAAATCAACCGAGATGGCCTCGATCTAGGTAAGATCGAAACATGCAAGTTTGTTTTTTTATTTCTGGTTTCTGATTATTGTTTGGATTCTACTAATTTCCTTCTCGTTTTCCTTTTTTATTTCCGGAGAAATTTCTAAACCGAGGGCTCGGGGGCGGCGATTACGGCGAGGGTAAGGGACGACTCCCCTAGGTTTGCATGTCGATTTTTGCGAGTTTTTGTTTGATTTTAGTTCGAAAACCGGGTTCTGACTTTCCATTTTACCGGCGATGGGGTTTATTCTGGGTGAGATTTTTGTTTGCATGTAGGTTTTCTTTTGATTTTTCTATCTCAGAAACCGGGTTCTGATCTTTGGGTTACATTTTCTTTTGTTTTTTACGGTTTATGGTTTCGGATCTCTGCCGAGGGAGGGAAGGGAAGGCGGCGGTCGCCGGCGGCGCGGCCAGCGCCAGAGCCGACGGCGAGGGTTTTGTTTGGGGTAAGTCCTTTATGGGTTTGCTTTCCTGTTCAATTTTCGTTTACTTCGATTTGGGTTTTTTCTGATCCTTTATTCTTTGATTTTTTACAGATCTAATACCTAGAGATTTTGGTGAGGTCTCCTAACTCTGATTAGTTTAACTAGGAAGGTATAACTCATAAAAATAATTTGTTTATAGATCCGAGTTTATGGAAGACGGTCTTGGCATTTTATGCCTTAATGAGTTATCTTTTATTGCTTGCTAATCTGGATTTGGTTTCGGCAGATCCTGGGTTTTGGATATGATAGGTCAAAGTCTAAAAATTAGACTAGTTTTTAACAAAAGAAACAAAAAAAAAAACTATACATGTGTGCTTTTGATGATGTATGCGATTTTGGTTACATTAAGTTTAAAGCTTGAAACTTAAATATCTTTCTCTCGCCTAACCTAAGTGGTAAAAGAAATTAATTGTTGTAATGCAAATGGTAACAGCCACCCTCGACTCTACATCACTGCTACTACTGTGCGATTTTGTCAGATTAAAGTTTTGGGTGATTTAAAAGAATTGGCAAGAGTTCTTGAATCTAAAATTTTTGGGTTTATAATGTTATTATGAACTGTACTTTAGCTTCTATTTCTATTCGGCTATGGTTGATTTATGGGTTTGAAATTTGAAGTTTTAGTGTGTTTATGGTGTTTCTGTTGGATTTGGTTTTAAGACTAAAATCATATTTGTTTCTGTTTATGAAATCTTGGCGATTGAAAGCTGTGTGTTGGTTTGAGCTATATGTTCTTAAAAGAAATTGAAATTTGATTAAAGTTTAACATGATCTTTACCAAAAGATTGGGCTAATGATGGCAACTTGAGCAAACGGATTTAGACAGGGGGTATAAGTTTATTGCTGCATAAACTGTGCTCAATTGAAATAAATCGCATATATGCAGATTGCGGTAGTAGTATATTGCTAAAATAGAAACTGAACCGATGGATAAACTTAAACGAGCTCAATTAAGTAAATAAAGCTGATAGAGATAAGCAACAAAGTATATGGATTATTAGTAAAACGAAGATCTAGATTACGAACACTAACCTTGTTGGGATTTCTGACTCTTAAGAATCCATGCTTTATGCTCCTACCTCTCAAACCTCCGAACTGGAATGAACTTCTTCAAAAAGAAAGAACCAGAAAGTCTTCCCATTTTTGTTTCTGTAGTCTATTTTCTCCTTTTTTTTCCCCCTAACAGTGAGCCCAGAGAGCTCAATTAATAGCAAAAATTATGCCTCGTTGCCCAATTCTGGTTGGCTGATTTTGAGGCTGCGTTTGGGAGCTACACCTCACTTGGACGGTTCTGACATGGTCAGGGTGTAGATAGGGTTGGCATATGATTTTGGGCCGAGTTGGCCGAAATGGGCCTGGAGTTGTTTGCGATCTGGAAATGGGCTTGATCCAGTCTTGCACTTGGGCCAAAACTAATCTGTTTTCCTCTTTTATTTTTGCAGGTGCACGAATTGTTTGGGCTCAAAGTAGGAAGGCAATCACTTCAATTTGTAATTAGTTTATTGTAATTATTTCTAATTCTCGCTTTATTTGGAGGTCATTTTCCAAGTTGTACGATGTATCATATTTGATAATAAAGCTCATTCCACTATTCAATTTGTCTCATTTCAAATGTACAACAAACTTTGCACATCCAATTGAGAACTTATATTTAAGATTTGCCACTGCTAATCTTAACTTAACTGTTAATTATGCCCTAGAATCGACTAGGAGCAAATTTGACAATTGTTGGTTCATATTGACTTGCAACTGCTAGTCTCAACCAAACTATCTTCAACTTCTTTTTTTAAATATAATTGTAGTATGACGTGACAATATTTATTTTCAATAAAACAATTATCCCGGACAAAATGTGGTGTCTACAGCTGGGACAGGAGTGACGCAGACAGCAGATCCTATTCTGTCCAGAGAAGACGAGCAGCATTAAAGTACGAAGCAACGTCGAGATTACCTTGGTGAAGGGCGGCAAGCTCAACTTCGAGCTCAAACTGGCGGTTGTTGCTGGTGCAGGCGTACGTATCGGCCAATGATTTCCACATGACAGCAGCTGAGGAGAGTAAGCGAAGACCCAGGAGGATGGTGGGATCTACCGAATTCAGAAGCAGTGAGCGCACCTTAGCGTCGTTTTGGACCCATTTTGCGAGCTCTTGATCCGTCGCGGGCGGGACAACCGGACGTGCAGATGTACCATCGAGATGACCAAGAAACCCCTTCCCCTTGATCATTGTTCGAAATTGAAACGCCCATATGGCGTAATTCTTGGAATTGAGACGGGTGGACATCTGATCGGATTCCATGCTGGTAAGCTCTGATACCATGTCAAGAACCAGTTGATCCCAATAACTCGAGTTGTTGGGAGAGGTTCAATCGTGGATCATATACCACAACACTAACACGCCCCCTCAAACGAAAGCCACTCACAAGGGCTTGAAGTTTGCACAGGTCTGAAGACAAGAATACCATGTGCTTAACAAATGGGGGTCACCGGGAATCGAACACAAGACCTCTCGGTCATAGAAGGCTCTGATACCATGTTAACTAATATGAAACAGAGTTATAATCGAAACGTACATAATCGAAACAGAGAGACACAGATTTACGTGGTATCCTCAACGTATGATCGTCGAGACTAATCCACGGCACAAAGGCGGTTTTGGTGTTTCTTATTAACTGCCGAATGAGGTACAGGTTACATATATACATATCCACAAACCCTAGGCGTGAAAGGGAGGAGGAGAATCGGTAGGGTTTTGGTACTAGGCTTACATACACGTTACATGTGCATGGGCTAAAAGCCCATCACTCAACACATAATGCATATATTTGAATCATTGAATGAAGTTTTAGAATTTTAAATGACTAGAATCATTCATTTCAAAATCTTAAAAAAAGGAGATTCTCTTCTTATTTTTTACTTTTGTAGGTGATTTTTCTACTCTTATCCCTATTTTTTAATATACTTGACCTACTCCCCTCCTTAAATGAATATATAATAACAATTGCAAGGTTATGTAACCATTTAACTTAGAATTATTTTTTCCTTGACAATCACAAATACCATTCTTACCATCATCCATCTCTTGTCAATTTGTAATACATGCATTCCAATAATACACAAATTCATATACTCTCAACTTCAAAACGATCCAAAGATAACTAAGGTATTGGGAATAAGATGGAGATTTCTCACCACTGCCACCATTATCAACAGGAGGATCAGCTAGCGTTGCAGGGGATGATTCTGGAAGCTGAATTACTATTTTTAGCAGAACACTTCTACTATGCTATATAGCATTGGTGCTTTAATGTACAACTTGAAGTTGTACCATAACATTAAATGTATAAGTTTAGGTTGTACCATAAAGGAATTTGTATCATTATGTTATGGTACAACTTTACAACTTGAAATAGTACCATCACATAAGGTACAAGTTTAAGTTGTACAATAAAAGAATTTGTACAAAAAGTATAGGTACAAAAAGTATAAGTACAATTTAAAGTTGTACCATAACGCTAAAGGTACAATTTCAAGTTGTAACATAAAAGCAAAAACCTATAACACCAATGCTATATAGCATTGTAAAATTCCTCTTTTTAGCCCTAAATTTACACTAATACCCCTTATAAAAATCCTCATGTGTATGTCATATGCTTTGAGCAGACGCGTATTTCATACGTCACAGGTATGGTCGGGCTTATATTTGGCACGTCTCTGGCCATTTCTTAGTCGGTGATGGTTGGCTTCGGGCGGCGGCAATGGCAAGGGTTGGCGGCGGTTGGAGTCTCCAACGAATCATCTTTGGTTGTCGTCGTCGGCGACTCGTCTCAGGCGAATATGGTCGCCTCAGATGGTTGGGATATTGAGGGATTTAGGGTTTTTGAATTTTTGTTAAAAAAAAGCATTTTTAAATATAGGACTACAAATAAGCCCTTTCTAGCTTTAGGGCTACAAATAGCACATGTCTTGCTAAATTCTTAGAGCTCGTTTGGAACCTCCGATTCTATATGTTGTATTCTCGGTATACATGCATTATGAGAATACAACGTCTTTTGATTTGATGTAGTAACAAAATGCATGTATTCATGGTTCATTTAAATTATAATCCATGCATTCTTATATGGATTCCAAACAATCAATTATCAAACCCACACATTCTTAGTATACACATAATATTTAATACACACGTTACAGAATCGACCCCTTAATTTCTTCAAAAAATGGTGGATTGGAGAAAGCCAGGAGGTGGAGATGGTGTGGGTTGTGGGCCGAGAGAGGAAGGGGAAGGTGGGTTGAGAATATAGGAGGGAAAGGGAAGGGCTGTAGGCCCAGACGAGGGTTGCGGCAAAGGGAGAGTGGGGGGAGGGGATTGAGACAAGGCAGTAGCGAAGGGAAATTGAGTTTCGTCGAAAAGAACGTGACGGGAGATATGGACTTTGTGGGTTGAAAGATTGTAACACCGATAGCCTTTGTGAGTGGGACTATAGCCGAGAAAGGCACATCTCGCGGAGCGAGGTTGAAGCTTATGACGAGTGATAGGACGTAGCCAAGGATAACAGAGAGAGCCAAAAATGCGTAAGGAGGAGTAATCAGGGGTTTGGGAGTAGAGAACTTCAAGAGGAGTTTTATGGTGAAGAAGAGGGGTAGGCATGCGATTGATAAGATAGACAGCCGTGTCGAAAGCATAGGACCAAAATTTGAGAGGAACGGAGGCATGATGAAGGAGAGCTAAACCGGTTTCAACCACGTGGCGGTGTTTTCGTTCGGCACAACCATTCTGTTCGGGAGTGTAGGGGCAAGAGGAGCGATGAATAATGCCATTATCTCTGAGATAGGCACCCAACTTTTGATATTCACCGCCCCAATCGGCCTGGAATATTTTGATGGGACGGTTAAAGTACTTTTCAACTTGGGTGCGAAAGTTTATAAAAATGGACAGGAGATTAGAGCGATGACGGGTGGGGAAGATCCATGTAAACTTGCTAAAATGGTCATAGAACAAAATGTAATATAAATGGCCGTCGACGGACAGTTCAGGAGAAGGACCCCAAACATCACTACAAATCAAATCCAAAGGACCAGTAGCTTTAAAAGTAGAAGGAGAAAAGGGAAGCTTATGAATTTTAGCGACACTACAACCATGACATAACTGATCGGCCTGTTTATTGATGACAGGAATGGAATTGTCACGAAGAATTTGACGAAGAACGCGGGTGTGAGGATGACCGAGGCGTTGATGCCAGTGCGAAAGAGATGAGTGGAGTGCACGAGGAGCCACGTGGGAGAGGATGGAGAGGGGTAACGAGTAGAGACCATCTTTACTCCGGCCGCGATGGAGGATTTTCTGAGAGCGTGTGTCCTTTATAGTGAAACAATCATCAAAAATTGATAGAGAGAGGATTAGTACGAGTGAGGGAATTGATGGAGAGTAGGTTATGAGAAGCGGAAGGAACATGAAGAATATTATTAAGTCGCAAGGGATGATGATGAAAAGAGGCAAGAGACGAACCAGAGTGAGAGATGGGTAGGGAATTACCATTGCCGAAGGCAACCTCGTCCGGACCGGCATATTCAGAATGTAAGGCTAGGTTGTTGAGGTCGAATGTGATGTGGTAGTTCGTTCCGGAGTCCATGATCCAATCTTGGGGAGTGGAGGAAGAGCTGGCGTAATTGGACGATGGGGAATAACGGTTGGTGAGGGTGAGGTTGGGGCAGTGTTTGGCAAGGTGACCGAAGCCCTGGCACGTGTAGCATCGGAGCGGGCCGCCGCTGGTGGAAGAGGAACGGTTGATGGGCCGAGTCCCAAGAAGGCCTGCTCCAAAACCTGGACCTACAAAAGAGTTAGAGAAATCGGTGGAGGGGAAATGATCACCTCGGCCCCCGTGGCCGTTGCAGCCACGACCGGGAGAACGACCAGTGAAGCGGCCACGTCCGCCGCCGCCGCGGCCACCGAAGCGTCCGTAGTTGGCCTGGGGAGTGCTACCATCGTGTAGAAGGCCGAGTTGGCGAAGGCGATGCTCTTCGTTGATGAGAAGACCATGGAAATCAGCAAATGAAATGGGCTCCAACTTTGCTTCGAGAGTGCGGACGAAAGGAAGGAAGTCCTCGCCGAGACCGCGAAGACAGCGGTCCACGAGTTCATCGTCGGAGACTGGATGGTTGAGGGCAGCAAGGCGGTCGGCAACCTCCTGGGCTCGTGTGAGGAATTTGATGCAGGAGTCGTTGCCGCGAGAGAGTTCGCCATATTGGGTGCGAAGACTGCAAAGGGTCTGGCGATTGCCGGTGCCGTAAGCTGAAGCTAAACGTGTCCAAGCCTCGAGGGCAGTGGAGCAGCCAACCAAGCGAGAGAGAACAGCATCAGTGAGGGAGCCCACAATCCAGGAGAAGACGAGCTGATCGCGGCGGCGCCAGGCATCATAGGCGGGATTGGGGAGGTCGTCAGGGAGGAGACAAGACGGAGCTGGAAAGGTGCCGTCAACAAACTTAGAGAGATCGAAACTAGTGAGGAGGGGAAGAAGTTGCATTTGCCATAGAAGATAATTAGTGGCTGTGAGTTTGATAGAGATATGAGGAGCAGGGGGAGGGCTGAAGTGGGAGAGAGTGGGATCAGAATTGGGGAGGGAGCCTGTGGTGTCGGAGGAGGATGTAGCAGAGGTAGTCATGATGAACAGGGAAAAAGAAGAAATAATCAGAGAACCGAGAAGAGGGGGAGAGGAAGATTATCTCGCCGTTAGGCAGGGAGGCTCTGATACCATGAAAGGGTCTGTAATTTCTGTATATTCAGCTTGAATAGAAGATACATATTTATACAGATTGTACATGGCTGTGGTAAGGCGTAGAGGGAGCAAGAGAGTCAGAAACAGAAAAGTAGTGGAGCAAGATAACAAGAACAGAATAACAAATGTTGTTGGTGGTGCCTGAAGACTCAGGAATCCTTATCACGCAGTACCATCATCTCCGACTCCCTGGCAGTGGCGGTCACGCCCATGACTGGGTGCAAAGGTTCTGAGAACTGCCGCTGCTTTTACAACGTGGCGCTGCATCAATTTCACCACATCGAGTTCCCCCAAGGCCTGCAGGGCAAAAGGTACCGCGGATCCACAAAGGGGTGGCTGTGCATTGTGGATAAAGCGCCCGGTATCTCGTTGTTGAATCCTCTTACCAAGACCGAGATCGCTCTTCCACCCGCAACATCTTTTCCTGGTGTGCTGGCCTACCGCCCAGAGAAGGCCTGGGGTGAGTACCTGCTTCAAATGGCAGATGGTTCCGAGGAATCCATTAGCAAGAACTTCTTCTTGAAGAAGTACCTGAAGAGGGTCGTTGTATCTGCTGAGCCCACCTCGCAGGAATGCATCGTGATGGCCATCCGCTGGAACACCGAGGATAATCGCCTGGCATTCTGCAGGCCTGCTGAAATTGAGGCAAAACATGGGTTGGAATTCTCCCATTTCAAATTTTGTGGCCTGAGAGTGATTCTAGGAAGGTCATTTTAGTAATTGCACTCAATTCATGTTTATATATTAAAAATGTTACCAATGGAGTTCGAACATTGGTCACTTGAATGAAGAAAGAGCATTATAACCAATTAGGCTATATTTTATTTATTCTTATTTCTTTGATTGAACTCTAGGAATATGTTTGGTGATGATGCTTCTATATTTATATTTTATCTTAAGTTATTTATATTTTATAGAAAGATATTAGTTCTGAAATTGGAACTCAAGTAGTATTGATTCAAACATTAATATTAAATTGTATGTGTTGTTTAGTTCAGACAAAATACAGAAGTGTAATCAAAACATGGACTTTTGTGACGAGTATAATCATTTTTTGTGACAAACCCACATATAATATAATAATAAAATTGGAAAATGAGAGTCTCATTTCAAATTTCGTGGTTTGAAATTGATTATAGGAAGCTTTTTTCGTCATAGTGCCCAAATATATCTTTATATTATGTGTAGATTTGTGACAAAAAATTATTATATTTGTCACAAAGATCAATGTTTTGGCTACACTTATGTATTTTGTCTAAACTGAACCATAAATACAATTTATTATTTAATGTTTGAATCAATATTACTTGAGTTCTGATTTCACAATTATCCCTTTCTATAAGATATAATAATTTTAGGTAAAATACCTTTCCTACTTGGTTGAAGAAGCTCTTTCTATAAGATATTGTTTGAACCTAACTGGGTGTAGGAGTGAGGTTCACGAAATGGGTCGAGAAGAATGAACAACAAGGTTAACCGAGAACTTTGGGACTAATGGAAGGAAGAATAGAGTTGAGAGAGTGTCTTTTAGTGAGAGAAGTTCGTTCTTTGCTTAGAGATAGAGAGTGGCAAAAATGCGATCCCCTCACCCACCAGAATAAATGCCATATTTATAGGCTACATGGTGGTGGGTGAGATACATGGGAGTATGGTGACATGACTGCTGACATGTCAGAAGCACAGGTCACATCCATACCTAGAAAAAAGGAATTTTAACCTATGACTATACCTAGGACTATGATGGTGACTACTATGACGGTGACTACTCTTGAAAGGGCGCGCCGCCGCTTTCATAGTTCCCTCGTCAAGGTCAACGTCTGACCAAGCGGCGTCGTTTGGTGTTCGAGTGCAGCTTTTGGATATGTTTCTCAATAGTGCCAGAGATCGCACGCTTGTTTCTCGCCTGAACGTTGTGGACTTGTTTGGCGCGGTGAGATCCGAGACACATGCCCAACAATTGCCCCCCACCAGGAGGTATTCTGCGAATGCCGCCTGTTTGATTTCCGTTTGACTGGCTCAGATCTGCTCGACTTCCGGATCGGTATCCGTTTGATTCTCGCGCCCTTCATTAAGGTCTGCGCGATCAGGATGAGCTGGTGCGAGTTTACTTATGCGTGATTGATTCGGGTCTGCGAGAACTTCGCGAGGCTTTCGGGGCTGATCAGATTCTGTGGCGGCGCTCGTTTCTGCCAGGGTTGCGCGATTGATTTCCGCGCCATTGATTCGGGCTTTCGTGATCTGTGTGAGATCAGGTCTGTGCGATCTTCGCGAGGCATTCGGGGCAGACCAGATTCTGTGGCGTCGCTCGTTTCTGGCGATTGATTTACGCGCCATTGATTCGGGCTTGCGTGATCTGTGTGAGATCTCTAGGGTTGGTTGAGCGTGACGTTTTTGTTGAGATTGGGCTTTGTTTTTGTTTTTTCTCCTTCGTGGGTGTGTCCTGCCCCCCAGGCGCTGCGCAGAGCTTGTGACGTCAGCGGCTAGTGCCTACATTAGATAGGTGGCCACGTGTCGTTGGCTACTGGTCGATTTCGGCGGTCGTTTTGAAATTTGAAAAGAACCTGACAGTTGCGATTCTCGATGCCACTTTAACCCTTCGACTTTCCCTTGTCAAGTATAAATACCCCTTCCTTTTTTTCTGCTTACCTCAAGTCTTCTTTCAAGCTTTCCTCTCGTTTTTATCTTCATTCTAACTCCGGGATTCTTCTCCTTCTTCCACAACCTTGATTCTCACTTTGCTGTTGTTCAAGTTTGAAGTTCAGTATGGCTAGCACCAACATCAACGAGACTGAGGTCGTGCAGGGTGAAGAAGGTAATCCCTCTTCTTTTTCACATGTTTCCACCGATCTCTCTCTGGATCTGGACGATTCCGGCCACGGGGACGGCGGCGGAGCTGACGATGGCGAGGGGGTTCCGGCATCGCCGTCGTTCGACGTCGATTCAGGCATGGGTTCACATGACCTCTCCGATGCGGGAATGGTTGTGTCTGGGAGTGGACAAGCAGGAGCGGGCGCTTGTGGGGTATTGATACTCCGCCGTGCTCGCGGCGGGGGGTCTGGGGCAGCTAATCCAGAGACGCGAGAGGAGTCTGATACGCAGTCGGAGCCACACGTTATTGCGCGCGTATCCGAGGCGATGAACCGCCTGGGACTTCGTGTTATTGGCGCGGCCTACACCGTCATAGACTGGGCGGAGATGTGGGGTGATCAACCGGCGCCAAGCGACAACCTTCTTCGGGGGCCCGATCACGCGTCCATATACGAGCATCAGGACGTGATGAACATAGTGCGCGGGTTAGGGTTGCCTCCGAGTTGGGAGTACGCGGTTCCCTCCGTGCGCAGTATGGTTGGGAATTGCGCCCCAGGCTGGTTTGGGGTGTACACAGAGTACTGGGTGATGGGATTCAAATTCCCCATCGACCTCTTGCTTTCCGCGCTGTATAGGCGCCTTAACTGCTCACTTGGTCGGCTTTCGCCTTCCGTGATTATGCACGCGAGCTGCCTTCGACTCGCGTGCAAAAGGCTCAAAATTGCGCCGACTTACGGGTGGTTTAGGAAGATTTACAAGATCAAGGAGCCAACCAGGAGGAGTGACTGTCTTTCAATCAAGCGCCGCGACAAGAGACCCGACGGCTTTGTGTACGGGTCTCCCAAGTTAAAGAAGACTTGGTTTGAGCGCTTTTTTTACGTTAAGCCAACCCTAGGGGAGTGGGCAAGTGAGTTTATGGCGGAGCCAACTGTGTGGAAGAAGGGTGGCATGCACGGATATGAATCGGACCCGGGCACTTACGCCGGGCTTGATGATGAGTATGAAGCGTGCATGCTGCAGAAGTTCAACTTATACGAGGGCGGAGTCCGCGAGGCTGTTTTGGAGGAGCTTTTTGCCGATGGTTAGTTTTGTTTTTTTTCTTTTGCATTCTATCATATTAACCGCCTTCTTACGACTTATTAGCGTAGGTGTTGACTTCTCCAGCTTGGCGGGTATGATGTCGGTGGAAGACATCGTGAAGGCACCTCGCGCTGGGAAGAAGAAAAATAAGGGAGGCGCGCAACCAATGAGCGCGAAAAGGAAGGAAATAGAGCAACGGTTGGTTGCGGAGAAACCCGCGAAAGCTGCTCGCATGGTTCAGGAGCCCGCGCAGACGGCGCGGAAAGCGTCGCTGGTGCTACCGGAGTCCACGGCTTAGGTGCACAGGACCGCTCGTCCGGAGAGGGACGCTGCAGGTAGTTCATCGGGGGCTAATGTCCAACAAAAGCTGCCCTAGATGGCTGCTGGCGCCATCGACTATTTTCGCGACGTGCGGGTCCATACGGCGCGGCGTGCAATGTTGCGGCCACGAATAATGCTCTCCGGGCGTTGGGACCTGTCTTGGGTGTGCCGTCGCGTCTGGAGAAATCTGATCCGCTTCAGAACCTGGCCTAGGTTCATTTCGCGGTAAGATTTGGTTGAACCTCCGCGAAGTACTCGTTGTTAAACATGCTGTTTTGCTAAGTCTTGTGGCGTTGTGAATGCAGGGTTTGTTGGCGACCTTCCGTGCTCAACAGGAGCGAAGTCGAGAGCGCGCGAAGATGAAGGTTGAGGAATCTATGATCGTGCAGCTTGAGGGTAAGCTGGCTGGGGCTGAGGGTCGCGCAGAGTTGGCGACTAACAAGGCCAACGATGCTTTGGAGCATCTTGGCGTTTTGCAGAGCAAGCTGGAGGAGCAGGTGGAGGCTGTGAGGGATCGGACGGCTGATGTAGGATTTTCCGCCATAATCTCCGTGCACAACGGTTGATGTAGGATTTTCCTAGGCGGGTTGGGACGGAACTGTGGGGACAGGTGCTGCTCCAAGAAGCTGAGATCCGCCCTTCCTGGCGGTTCGTTTCGCTGCTCTTTAGGTGCGGACAACTCGACCGCTGCCTGTTGTGGTGGCGGGGCTGCACCTGATGCCTCCCCTTGTGTTAGCTGCAGCGCGACAGGCGCCGCATCTGGTGTTGCCGCGGCCTCTTTGCTCATCATGAGCGCGATAACTTGGCTCATCTGTTTTTGCATGTCGGCGATGACACCGTTTTGTTTTGCCATCAGCTGCCTCATTTCCTTCGCCGCCAGTTCAGGCTCTTCTTCCTTAATGAGTACCGCGTCGCGGTTACTGGCTTCCGCGAGATCCGCGAACACTCTAGGGGTTGTCATCGCCTTGATGGGGGTTACCTCGCCGGGTATGTTGGAGTCGTGTTCTGCCATTGGTTGGATTTCTGCTGCTTTTCTTCTCAGCCCCACGGTGGGCACCAATTGTTTGAACCTAACTGGGTGTAGGAGTGAGGTTCACGAGAATGGGTCGAGAAGAATGAACAACAAGGTTAACCGAGAACTTTGGGACTAATGGAAGGAAGAATAGAGTTGAGAGAGTGTCTTTTAGTGAGAGAAGTTCGTTCTTTGCTTAGAGATAGAGAGTGGCAAAAATCTGATCCCCTCACCCACCAGAATAAATGTCATATTTATAGGCTACATGGTGGTGGGTGAGATACATGGGAGTATGGTGACATGACTGCTGACATGTCAGAAGCACAGGTCACATCCATACCTAGAAAAAAGGAACTTTAACCTATGACTATACCTAGGACTATGATGGTGACTACTATGACGGTGACTACTCTTGAAAGGGCGCGCCGCCGCTTTCATAGTTCCCTCGTCAAGGTCAACGTCTGACCAAGCGGCGTCATTTGGTGTTCGGGCGCAACTTTCGGATATTTTTCTCAATAGTGCCAGAGCTCGCGCGCTTGTTTCTCGCGTGAACGCTGTTGAGTTGTTTGGCGCGGTGAGATCCGAGACTTCATGATTGAATAATAGTGATCTACAAAATATATAAAGGCAAAACATGGGTTGGAATTCTCCCATTTCAAATTTCGTGGCCTGAGAGTGATTCTAGGAAGGTCATTTTAGTAATTGCACTCAGTTCATGTTTATATATTAAAAATGTTACCAATGGAGTTCGAACATTGGTCACTTGAATGAAGAAATAGCATTATAACCAATTAGGCTATATTTTATTTATTGTTATTTCTTTGATTGAACTCTAGGAATATGTTTGGTGATGATGCTTCTATATTTATATTTTATCTTAAGTTATTTATATTTTATAGAAAGATATTAGTTCTGAAATTGGAACTCAAGTAGTATTGATTCAAACATTAATATTAAATTGTATGTGTTGTTTAGTTCAGACAAAATAGAGAAGTGTAATCAAAACATGGACCTTTGTGACGAGTATAATCATTTTTTGTGACAAATCCACACATAATATAATAATAAAATTGGAAAATGAGAGTCTCATTTCAAATTTCGTGGTTTGAAAGTGATTATAGGAAGCTCTTTTCGTCATAGTGCCCAATATATCTTTATATTATGTAGATTTGTGACAAAAAATTATTATATTTGTCGCAAAGATCAATGTTTTGGCTACACTTATGTATTTTGTCTAAACTGAACCACAAATACAATTTATTAGTTAATGTTTGAATCAATATTACTTGAGTTCTGATTTCATAATTATCCCTTTCTATAAGATATAATAATTTTAGGTAAAATACCTTCCTATTTGGTTGAAGAAGCTCTTTCTATAAGATATATTCAATGTTTTAAGATTTTCTATTTCAAATTTCGTGAAGCGAGAGAGAAAGTAGGAAGACTATTTTTGTCATCACAATTATTATCTACTTCATATGTAAAAGTATCGATATCAAGATTTGAGCCATGGTCTCTTCAAACAAAAGCAATAATCACAATCAATTACACTAAACAAATTTGTTTTATCTTCATATATTGTAAACATGCACTAAGCGAAGATTTGAAAAGCAAAGGACTTTTCATGGTTAGCAAGCTTATTAAATTTTCTGAAAAGCAAAGTTTAATACGTGATTTATAATTTTTATAAACTATAAAATGACGGGTAATCTTAAAATTGCAACACAAATTTCATTGCTTGAAATATTGCATATCGAACTAACTATTAGCGACAACTTAGCATCATGTCTTATATATTTCAAATCAAGCAACTTCGGATTCATTACCAACAATGTGGTAAAAAAGAACGCTCTCTATTGGGGAAAACTTAAATGACATACTAAATTCTATGATACATTTTCTTTTATCCTAAAGGTTTATTATTTATGTATGTATTATGAGAAGCAACTATAATATTCAACTATATGATTTAATTAAGTAATGAAGGACAATTAGTTATATTATTTTTTTTATTTAATAATTATATGTAATGCTTATATTATATTTTTTCTCTTTTCATTGAAGTCTAAACACATTATGTATAGGTGGATCACTTTCAAAAATGTTATGTGCATAACTAAGATAGGAAATTATGCATTTCAAATCATCTATTATATCTTATTATATACCATATTTCTCGACAAAATTTTTCTGGCCAACAGGCCGATCCCTGTGCTAGTAATATAATGGGCAATTGACTCTATTTAGTTGAAAAATCATGTCTAATTAGTTGGGAAAAAAATCAAAATAGGAGATGTATGAATGGATAGCATAAAAATTTGACTTAGAACGAGCCAAGAATAAGGCGAGCAAGACAGGGCGGGTCTGAAGTTAATACTCGTGCCCCACCCCACGCTACAACGGATCGAATAATATTCATCCCATCACAGATCAGGTCGGATAATACCGGACAAAACGAGTTCAAATTGCCATCCTAACAAATAAGCCCTTAATAGGGCTACAAATATTCTTGTTATAAAACTAATGGAAATGCAACAACAAGAGAAGATTGGAGGAGGAAAGACACAAGAGAAGTGAGGGGAATAGTTCTTCTTATTCATTCTCCATTTGTGATACAATAGTGTGCTCTATTTATAGGCACCCTTTGATAACCATTACATCCTTACATCAATGCATATGAATTAGAGATAATAATATAGGAATGGGAGTTACATGTAACTCCCAAGTGAGCATCTAATGTGGTAGGCCATTGGTCATCCAAATATAAATATTTACATAATACTCCCCCTTGGATGACCACTAGATTGCATTATTACGCTATCTCATGCTGCCTCATTAAAAACCTTACCAGGAAAACCCAGTGGGAAAAACCATGGTTAAGGGAAAAAGAGTGCAGCGCGTATATGCTCCCCCTCATGACCACATCAGCTCAGGTCTTTGAGACGTCGAACTCCAATTTCACGAACAAGCTTTACAAAGATTGTCGTCGGGAGTGACTTGGTGAATAAATCTGCTAAATTCTCACTTGAACGAACTTTTTGAACAATTATTTCACCACTCTTTTGAAGATCATGAGTGAAAAAGAACTTGGGAGGAATATGTTTTGTTCTATCTCCTTTAATATATCCTTCCTTTAATTGAGCAATGCATGCTGCATTATCTTCATACATGATCGTCGGGATCATTTTTCCTGGAGATAGTCCACACGATTCTCTGATGTGTCGAATTATAGATCTTAACCAAACACATTCACGACTTGCCTCGTGAATTGCTAGGATTTCAGCATGATTGGATGATGTGGCTGTTATAGTTTGTTTTGTGGATCGCCACGAAATGGCTGTACCACCACAAGTGAACAAATATCCTGTCTGAGATCTAGCATTGTGGGGATCTGAGAGATATCCTGCATCTGCATATCCCACTAAATCCATCTTCGATGCATTCGAATAGAACAAGCCCATATCTGTCGTTCCACGAAGGTAACGAAGTAAATGTTTAACTCCATTCCAATGTCTTTTAGTGGGAGAAGAGCTATATCTTGCCAATATATTCACAGCAAACGATATATCGGGTCGTGTATGACTGGCTAGATACATTAATGCTCCTATCGCACTAAGATATGGCACTTCAGGGCCAAGCAGATCTTCATCACTTTCTCGAGGTCTAAATGGATCTCTTTTCACATCAAGTGATCTTACAACCATTGGATTACTCAACGGGTGTGATTTGTCCATATAAAATCGCTTAAGCACCTTTTCAACATATCCTTCTTGATGCACAAAAATACCATCCTTCAAATGTTCAATCTGTAATCCAAGACAAAACTTTGTTCTTCCTAAATCTTTCATTTCAAACTCTTTCTTCAAGCAATCAACCGCTTTTGGAAGCTCTTCGGGAGTTCCAATGATGTTTATGTCATCAACATAAACTGATATTATAACAAACTCACTACCCGATCTCTTTAGAAAAACACATGGACAAATAGGGTCATTTGTGTATCCTTCTTTCATCAAATATTCACTGAGACGATTGTACCACATTCGTCCAGATTGTTTCAATCCATACAAGGATTTGTTCAATTTGATAGAAAAATTTTCTCGAGAATGTGTTTTGTTCGCTTCTGGCAAAGTGAATCCTTCAGGGAGTTTCATATATATATCATTCTCAAGTGATCCATACAAATAGGCTGTCACAACATCCATTAGACGCAGATCTAGTCCTTCTCGAACTGCTAGACTAATCAAGTATCGAAACGTAGTTGCATCCACCACAGGGGAGTATGTCTCCTCATAATCAATGCCAGGTCTATGTGAGAATCCTTGTGCGACAAGACGTGCTTTATATCTCACGACTTCACCCTTTTCATTTCTTTTCCGCACAAAAACCCATTTGTATCCCACTGGCTTTACGTTTTCTGGTGTAAGGACTACCGGTCCAAAAACCTTTCGCTTTGAAAGCGAGTTTAATTCCGCCTCAATGGCCTCTTTCCACTTTGGCCAATCATCTCTTGATTTGCATTCATCAATAGATCTTGGTTCATGATCCTCATTTTCATTCATCACACTCAACGCTGCAGCGTAAGCAAAAACATCGTCGACGATTATTCTACTTCGGTTCCAACATTTTCCATCCAAGACATAATTGATTGAGATCTCTTCATTATCAAAACTTTCAGGTACCTGATGTTCTTCGGGAACTACAATCTTAGTTATGCTTGGGGACTCTTCTTGAGCTTTCATATCCTCGATTTGATCAACTTGATTCATAGCTCCTTTTCTTTTTCGAGGATTTTTATCCTTGGAACCTACTGGTCTACCACGCTTCATTCGTGGTTTAGATTCATTAGCAATTTCAGATTGTCCAACAGGGACATCAACTTTCACTGGAGCATTTACAGCTGGTATGTGTGACTTTGTCACTCTTTTCTGGTCAGTGAACGAATCTGGCAGTTGGTTTGCTAAACCTTGTAAATGAATTATCTTTTGAACTTCCAGTTCACATTGTCTAGTACGAGGATCAAGGTGAGATAATGATAATTCATTCCAACAAATATCTTTTCCCAGCTGTTTGTTCTCACCCCCTAATGTTGGAAAAACTGATTCGTCAAAATGACAATCAGCAAAACGAGCAGTGAATAAATCTCCCGTCAAGGGTTCTAAGTATTTTATGATTGACGGGGACTCATATCCAACATAAATTCCCAACCTCCTTTGAGGACCCATCTTAACACGCTGTGTTGAAGCAATAGGGATGTAGACGGCACACCCAAATATTTTTAGATGGGAAATATTAGGTTCCTGACCAAAAATCATTTGCAAGGGGGAAATTTCATGATAACTTGTTGGCCTTATGCGAATTAATGTTGCCGCATGCAATATAGCATGTCCCCAACAAGCAATTGGCAAGCTTGTTTTCATAAGCAATGGTCTTGCAATAAGTTGCAAACGCTTAATAAATGATTCTGCAAGGCCATTTTGTGTATGAACATGTGCTACAGGATGTTCAACATCAATCCCAGTGGACATACAATAGTCATTGAAAGTTTGTGAAGTAAATTCACCAGCATTATCTAGACGTATTTTCTTGATTGGAAAATCAGGAAAATGTGCTCGTAGTCGTATCAATTGGGCAAGTAATCTAGCAAACGCCAGGTTGCGAGTTGATAGTAAGCACACATGTGACCATCTAGTTGATGCATCAACTAAAACCATAAAATATCTAAATGGCCCACATGGTGGGTGAATTGGCCCGCATATATCACCTTGTATACGTTCTAAAAATGTGAGAGATTCACTCCTTACTTTCATAGGTGATGGCCGTATAATCAACTTGCCACGAGAACATGCAACACATGGTACATCTTTAAACTGATAAATTTTGTGACCTTTCAATGGATGTCCACATGTATTGGCAATGATTTTTCGCATCATAATCAATCCGGGATGGCCTAACCGGTCATGCCAAACTATAAAATTATCAAGATTAGTAAACTTCTGGTTTACCACTGCATGTGCTTCAATTGTACTAATAAACGTGTAGTACAACCCAGAAGAAATAGCAGGCAATTTCTCCAATATGTGTTTTTTATCGGAGACCATATTTGTTATCATAATATACTCTTTATTCTCTTCTTCCTTTGTCTCAATATGATATCCATTTCGGCGAATATCTTTGTAACTCAATAAATTTCTTTGAGACTTTGAAGAGTATAAGGCTTCATTGATATACAACTTGGTTTCTTCTGGTAACAATACACTAGCTCTTCCGGAGCCTTCAATTAGATTTGTACTTCCAGATATAGTACTAACATTTGCTTCTCGCATTTCAAGATGAGAAAAATATTTCTTATCCTTCAAGATTGTATGTGTCGATGCACTATCAATAAGACACACATCATGGTTTTTGATCTTGGTGCCAAGCATGGGAATATTCATTCTTCACAAAAGATAGAAAGTAAATCAATATAAGAAAATATCTCCAAATAAATATAAAAAAATGACATGATTATAATAGATGAAATTTAACCACATAAGGATTATAAAGAGAAATTATATTAAACTGACACATTAATAGGAAAAACACACTCAAGGAAAACGACAAAGAAAGTGAATTTTCAAATGGGAAACCTACACTTTTCACTTGTGAACAAAGCGACAACAAAATAGAAATTTCAAATGGAAATGCTAAGTTTTTCACTTGCGAACATTCCCATCACCAATCAGGTGATCTATTTTTCCTTCAGGGTGGGCAAAGAAGTCTGACACATCTAGATGAGTAGCATCATTATAGTCTTTTCCTGAATCATCTTCCTCAAAAATACAATTGGTTTCTATCTTCTTCCCTTTCAATGATTCTTGGTAGAGGTTAACCAAGTGTTTTGGCGTACGACAGGTACGAGACCAATGACCTTTTCCACCACAACGGTAACACACATTTTCGACGTGTTTGTTACCATGAACACTTTGTTCCTTGCTTCTTCTACCATCATTTTTTCCACTTCTGGGGAAAAATGAGCTTTTGGAACTTTCACCACGACCATTACCACGACCAAGATCTCGGCCACGGCCTCGAGCATGAGCATGACCACGCCCACGTCCTCGTCCATGTCCACGTCCATGTATTTGCCCATAAGGATATTGGGTGAACGTTGCCGCATTCGCTTCTGGGAATGGGGCGGCACCAGTAGGACGAGATTGGTGGTTTTTCATTAGGAGCTCATTATTTTGTTCAGCAACAAGGAGACAAGAAATCAGCTCAGAATATTTCTTGAAACCTTTCTCACGATATTGCTGCTGCAGGAGCACATTGGATGCATGAAAAGTGGAGAATGTTTTTTCCAACATATCTTCATCAGTAATATTTTCTCCACATAACAGTAGTTGTGATGTTATTTTGAATAGCTCCGAATTATAATCACTCACAGATTTAAAATCTTGTAACCTCAAATGCATCCAATCATAACGAGCCTTAGGAAGAATCACAGTTTTTTGGTGGTCATACCGTTCCTTCAAATTAGTCCACAAAATAAGTGGATCTTTGATCGTAAGATACTCATTCTTCAATCCCTCGTGGAGGTGATGTCGAAGAAAGATCATTGCTTTAGCTTTGTCTTGATCTGATGCTTCATTTCCCTCTTTAATCGTGTCTCCAAGACCGTTGGCAGCTAAATGAATTTCAGCATCTAGCACCCATGATAGGTAATTCTTTCCAGTGACATCAAGAGCCACAAACTCAAGCTTTGAAAGGTTCGACATACTTGAGCAGAACAATTATGGATTTAACCTTTTCAAAAGGAAGAGTCTCGTGCTGATAACGTGTTATAAAACTAATGGAAATGCAACAACAAGAGAAGATTGGAGGAGGAAAGACACAAGAGAAGTGAGGGGAATAGTTCTTCTTATTCATTCTCCATTTGTGATACAATAGTGTGCTCTATTTATAGGCACCCTTTGATAACCATTACATCCTTACATCAATGCATATAAATTAGAGATAATAATATAGGAATGGGAGTTACATGTAACTCCCAAGTGAGCATCTAATGTGGTAGGCCATTGGTCATCCAAATATAAATATTTACATAATAATTCTTAATTTCTTACAACAAAAATGGTGGCTTGGAGAAAGTAGAGAGGAGATTGTGCCAACAGTTGTCACCATGCCAACGAGAAAATGAAATTGGGAAACCTATCGGTTCCCTCGTCACCAGGGTTTGGTTTTCAGTTTCAGTTTAGAACGAAGACACCGACTGACACAGAGTAGAGCCGAGCGAAAACAGAGCAAGATTGGATTTTTAGCTTTTAGTTTACAACTGGTTTCTGTTCTCGGGCAATAAAAGGCTATGGAAAGGTTCAGATTCACTTCTACTCAGAAGGATTCCAGCGTTTGATTCGACGGTGATACATACGGATCTTGGTAAGGCAGGTAGAGTTCCGGCGCAGCCGCCAGTAAGACTCTGTTTCTCATACCTTTTCTCCTTTTCCGTTTTTGGGTAGGAGTAAGAATCTCAAATCCGGGCCAGAATCCCTTTCCCTATTTTGTTTCGGAATCGGAAAAGAGAGCGAATTCAATAAATAGTAGACCTATGCTCAGTTAGCCTTCCCCCGCACCAATAGGCCGAGAAAGAAAGAGTTCTGCTTCAGAAGATACAGGCATATATCATAGTTCCAATGGCTGATGGATTGAAGGATTGGTCTGAATTGGGGGAGGACCTGCTGTCTAGGATTGGGCAATGTTTGAGGACATTAGAGGATGTGATTCGATCCCGTGTAGTTTGTAAACAATGGAGGCGAGCCCTATTGGCCGAGCAGCAGCGCAGGTTTCCCCCATTCACACAGTGGCTGATGCTACCGTTTTGCAGGAGCAACAACATGAACATGGAAATGTCGATGTGCAGTACCATCTCCAACTCCCTGGCTGCGGTGGCCACGCCGATGACTGGGTGCAAAGGCTCCGAGAACTGCCGCTGCTTTTACAACGTGGCGCTGCATCAATTTCACCACATCGAGTTCCCCCAAGGCCTGCAAGGCAAAAGGTACCGCGGATCCACAATGGGCTGGCTGTGCATTGTGGATAAAACGCCCGGTATCTCGTTGTTGAACCCTCTTACCAAGACCGAGATCCCTCTTCCACCCGCCACATCTTTTCCCGATGTGCAGGCCTACCGCCCTGAGAAGGCCCGGGGTGAGTACCTGCTTCGAATGGCAGATGGTTTCGAAGAATCCATTAGCAAGAACTTCTTTTTGAAGAACTACTTGAAGAGGGTTGTTGTATCAGCTGAGCCCACCTCAGAGGAATGCGTTGTGATGGTCATCCGATGGAACACCGAGGACGATCGCCTGGCATTCTGCAGGCCTACTGAAATTGAGGCAGGATGGAAGCTGGTTGCTCACGAGGAGGAGAATGGTATACCCCCGGACAGGATTGGTTTTGTGGATGTGGTTTTTTGGAGGGATCGATTCTATGCCCTTGACTGGGGAGGAAGGATTCTGGTGTGTGATTTTTCTGCTAACTCGCATCACCAGACTCTGTCGTTCTTTCTTGAATTTCATCCCAATCATGATGGTTATGGCTATGCCGACAATCAATACTTGGTTGTGTGTCCTGCTGCTGTTACCGGGGATGATGATGATCAGCTGGTGATGGTATCTAGATTTACGAAATGGATGGATATTGACGAGAGCGATGATGACAACAATTCGGATGATGATTGTCCACCAGGCAACAATGCAAAAACTTACTGGGCCGAGAAGTTCAAAGTTTTCAAGATGAAGAAGAATGCCATAGGATGGGATGAGTTTAACAGCATCGGGGAATTTGCCTTGTTCTTGGGCTTCAACTCCTCTGCAACTTTTGTCCACACCAAAGCGCATCCTGGAGTAGTTCCCAATTCCATTTATTTCACGGACGATATCATTGACAGCCATCGAGGGCGGATGCATGGAGGTCATGACATGGGTGTCTACAACCTCGCCACTCAAAAGGTCATGCCTCTCTATTCTACTACCACTCTGCATGATAACCCTGTGATGATTTCTCCATTACCTCTATGGTTCTCTCCGTCGATTGTTACTGGCTCGTAAGCACCTTGTTGGAGAAATCAACTGTCAGCTAGTTTACTCACTCTTGTAACCAGCCTATTGTAATTTGTAGGTAGACCCATATATTCCTTACTCTTGTGTTGTGATTAAATGGATTATTATAAATTATTAAAGGTCTAAATTTTTAATTGAGGAAGATACTGAAGAACATAAAAGTTTATGCAATGATGAAAATGAGTGATGAGCATATCGACAAGTTTCTCATACCGTGGGATAGGAAGGAATATGAAGGGGGGAAACTTGTCGTTCATCGAAATAATTAGTCACTATTGACATCGGCACATTGCACATTCGAGATCGCCAAATATCCAATAGTTCGTCCATTCAGCCTTTTTCATTCTTCTTATTGTTGAATATCTCATTCGTACACATCTTCTCCGGAATATCTCATTCGTAAGCAAATGAAATTCCAATTTTCCATCTCATACCAACCGGTGGAAATGGTTCTTTTTGGTACACACCATTCATTGGTTGACTGCCACGATTGATTAGTCGCAAACTCTCAAAAGTAGTTCAAAACGTTGACATGGCCAAAGAAAAAAAAATGGCTACAAAGCCGAACTATCGTCGAGGGTGAAAAGAGGATGAGCAAGGCAAGGAAGGTATAATTATAAAGCGACTCTCCCACTACTTCCGCTGCTGCGGCTACCATTCTCCATCGATCGAGATTCCTGCTCATCTCGATCATCAGAATGAGTATATATTCCCTTCCATATTCATCATCACTGCGGCTACTATATAATTGTCACCATCCTGGTAATTTTGAGTTGTCCTGCATCTCAGAAATAAAATTGTTACTTTTCGTCAATGACAATTATCAGGTTCTCATCGGCAAAAACACGGGAAAAATCCGAAAATGCTCTAGTTACAACAAAAAAATTTCCCACATTACCACACTTTAATCCCCCCCCCCCCCCCCCCCAAATACCCAAATTGGGAGTGGTTCGCTCAAGTGTCAAGTGAACTAGGTAGTGGTTCGCTTGACACTGAAGCGAACCACATCCGAAATGGCCTGATCGCAACTGAAACGGCCGAAAATGCCCAAAATGAGGGTGGTTTGCTGCCAACCTCAGTGAACCACTCATAATCAGAACTTCAAACAATCATAACTTTGTATTCGGTTATCCTATCGAAGATTTTTTTTATTCCTTATAACTTTTAAATATCTACAACTTTTACTGGGAAGAAATTTCAAAAATAATTTGCTTGGATTTAAGGGGTGTTTAGAATGATCTAATATTTAATTTCTACATTTCAACATACATTCTGAAAAAATTTCTATAGAAAGATTTATAGATCTTAAATAGCTAGGCACAATAAAAAAAACTTTGTGACGATCAGACTGCGGAGCACTAAGTTACAATCATTCAAGTTTTGGTGAAATTGAAAAACGCTCGGTTTGTGGTGTCAAACGACATTAAATGGAAATTTCTTCCTAGTGAAAGTTGTAGATCTTAAAAAGTTATGTGGAATAAATAAAAAATTGCTACGATTGGACAACCGAGTGCAAAGTTATGATCATTCAAAATTTTGATTAGGAGTGGTTCGCTGGGGTTGGCAGCGAACCACCCTCATTTTGGGCATTTTTGGTCGTTTCGACTGCGATCCGGCCATTTCAGATGTGGTTCGCTTCTATGTCAAGCGAACCACTACCTAGTACGCTTGACACTGGAGTGAACCACTCCAAACTTGGATATTGGGGGGGGGGGGGGGGGGGGGGGGGGGGGGGGGAGGGGGAGGGGGGACAGAAAAAGCCTAGCATAGTTATCTCACTTATTCAAAGCCATCAACCAATGGCGCGTAGCCAGAATTTCGTCTAAGGTCCGAAATGAAATTATATAAGAATAAACTCAATCAATGTTTACAATGATTCATATCTTGAAAAGTTTTTAAAATACATTCATCATCCAACTTATCTAAGATGTCAACATATCCTACTAAAATATCATTCAACCTTCATTGCTCATTCGACTTCGTAGTGTGTTCCTTCATGTAGCTCATTGCGGAAAATACTCTTTCAATACTTGGTCATGATGACCGGTAACAACAACGCCAATTTCACAAGTCGATACACTAATGGAAACAGTCAAAACTTTTTTGACACAAATTTCTCTACAAGGCTCAGCAATTCCCTTCAACATACTGAACATCTTATCCATCTTCACATCAAAGATATAACTATCTAATTGAGAATCAAGATGTAAGATATAATCATTTAAGAATTCATTACAAAGCTCGCCAACTTTATTTCCGTGAAAATTTGAGGTTGTGGTCTTGGCATTTTTTAGAAAATATTTCTCCATAATCCCAATCCACATAATAAAGAAGTAAACATAGAATTAGAGGTAGCAATTAGAAAAAGCCTAGCATTGTTATCTCACTTATTCAAAGCCATCAACCAATGGCGCGTAGCCAGAATTTCGTCTAAGGTCCGAAATGAAATTATATAAGAATAAACTCAATCAATGTTTACAATGATTCATATCTTGAAAAGTTTTTAAAATACATTCATCATCCAACTTATCTAAGATGTCAACATATCCTACTAAAATATCATTCAACCTTCATTGCTCATTCGACTTCGTAGTGTGTTCCTTCATGTAGCTCATTGCGGAAAATACTCTTTCAATACTTGGTCATGATGACCGGTAACAACAACGCCAATTTCACAAGTCGATACACTAATGGAAACAGTCAAAACTTTTTTGACACAAATTTTTCTACAAGGCTCAGCAATTCCCTTCAACATACTGAACATCTTATCCATCTTCACATCAAAGATATAACTATCTAATTGAGAATCAAGATGTAAGATATAATCATTTAAGAATTCATTACAAAGCTCGCCAACTTTATTTCCGTGAAAATTTGAGGTTGTGGTCTTGGCATTTTTTAGAAAATATTTCTCCATAATCCCAATCCACATAATAAAGAAGTAAACATAGAATTAGAGGTAGCAATTAGAATCCAAATCGATGAATCCTATACAATCCATCCACCAAATTATCCACCTAATACAATTCATTTAAATCCAATCCATTTGATCCAAATTCAATTGGATTGGTGGATTAATGAATTGATCCATTAATCCAAATGTCAAATTACAGTTTGGTACCTATATTTTTTATATTTTATATTTTGGTATCTAAAATTTATATTTTATACCAATGCAGTCAAAATCGCGCTTTAAAACTTAAAAACTTACATTTTACCTTTTTGGGTCACCACAACGCTTCTACGTAGAATCGTGATTTTCCCTTATAAATGTAGTCAAAATCTACGTTTTAAAACTTTAAAAGTTTACGATTTTACGCTTCTAGGTCACTCCACCGCTTCTAGGTAGAATCACACTTTTGACTGCATTGTTTTATACCAAAAAAATCATTGGAAAATTATATTTTGGTACCTAAAAATTTACATTATGACATTTTAGTACCTAAACTTTTCAAATTTTACATTTTGGTCCAAACCTTGGATGTCATTTGGATTCATGGATCAATCCACCAATCCATTTTATCCAATCCATGAATCCACCAATCCATTAGATCCAATCCATTTGATCCATGGATCCACCAATCCATGAATTCAATCCATATGCCACCTCTACATATAATTAAACCCACTAATCAAGAATTAACGAGAAAGAGATTCAAGTTCAAACTCATTTTCCAACGAATAAGCAAGTTCAATCTTTCTTATTTCGGCTAACTAATCGACAACTATTCTAATTCACATTGCAGTTATTCTATTGAATTCCCTGCCACTTAATTACTAACAATTCCAGTGCCAAAGGCCAATTATTATATTGAAGTCAAGTAAAATTAGTTTTAATTATTGTAAAAGAGCTCTACAATTATTGGTAACAGGGTTGTTAAATACCGCCCTAGTTTTGAAGTATCGTGCTAACATAATTCCTTTTTTATCCCTTACTTATTTTCTATTTACACCTGCGATGTATATAAAACAAACTAAAATCATATTTTCCATGGAAACAAGTGCCCTACCCCTCTTCGTGGCCGGTCATTGCCACGCCGGTGTCATCAAATCATGAAGCGAAGAAGCTAACCGTCGGTACGGAAGTTTGGTTTTGGATGCCCGTTGAACCGGAGGGATATTTTGGCACCCCCGGAGAACTTGAACCCTAATCAGAGAATAAACTCTTCCACAGACGCCATGGAAGACCCGCTATCACCACAAAGTTTTTTGTCGTAATTGGCAACTATTCCTTAATAAAATGTGTGAAAATCCCTAAAGGCTCGAACTCTGCAATTTATTTTACTTGCGACAGTTGTGGCTTACAAGCAATTGAAAGAACAAATGCAGGGGGATTGAATTACTGATCAGAACATCGGTGGCTCATAGCAAAAGGAAGAGTTCGCCGGAAGAGATTCTGAAATGTATTGTTATTCTCCTTGTAGGGGATTCAAAGCTGTAGCTTGTTTGCTGAGTTCGATGATAATTGGTACTACTGATTTGGATCCAAATGTGTACACTTTGCCCCTCATTTCTTGATAGTTTGGCTTTGTATTTCATCGTCCATCGACATATTTCACGCTAGGTTGTGCTTGTTTTGATACATGTCAAGTCCTGGCACGTGTGGAAGGGTCGAGGAAGAGTTTCGCGACGATTGGAGGTTTCAGGCTATGTTCATGGTTTTCCATTGGAGTTCACGGTCTTCTAAGGCCGTGAATGGAAGCCATAATCCGTGAACCGCGAGGCGTCCAAGGAGAAATCCGCAGTTACTACCGCGAGACGAGTTCACGGTCAACAAGACCATGAAGATTGAGGCCAAACCGTGAACTCCTGATGGCGAAGCGGTGCGTTTAGACATCGCGCTCTGTGTTCACGGACGAGTTGAAGAGTTCACGGTCGTGAACTGAACCCGATCCTGGTATAAAATGTGAGTTGAAAGGAAGAAGAAAGGGGGAGCTTCATTTTTAGGTTAGGTTTTCATTTTCAGAATAAAGAGAATTCTAGTGAGAGGTTAGGGTTTATTCTAGAGTGAGAAAGTGCACAAAGGAGGAAGAAGGAGCTTTGGGCTTGTTCCTAGCTAGAGGATTGGAGATTTCTTCATCTCAAGGGTCTCTCAAGCAACAAGGAGGAAAGATTGACATCATTTCATGGTTATTTCTTCCCTTTTTGTTGTTTTCTCTTGGTTAGCTATGGAATAGCCTACCTACTCACTTGGGTATTGTGAATCCTAGTCTCTCTATGTGTTAGGATGTAAGAACATGAACCTTTTGTGTTGATTGAGTGTTTTATATAATATTTGAGGTATTATTCATGAATGAGTGAGTGTGCTAGCTTTAACTCAATATTGGGTGAAATTAACCTAGTGGGTGGAAATCCCCTCTTAGTCCAATTAAGAGCTAGACTCCTTAGCCACTTGGGTAACCTCCTTTAGATCAATTTTAGACCAA